AAACGTAGGGAGGTGGGGTACTAGGAGAATAAACTTTGAATGAATGATAGAACGCACGAATAAAGGCACAAGGAACGTACAGTACAATCAATCAGTCAATCAATCAAGCTAGCAATCCATTTTTATTTGTTTACCCGCTCTAAAAGCAACCGCGTGAATTTCCTTTAGAGGAATCAATTTGCGTTGATAGTTTCTTGCGCCCAGTACTTCAAATCCATCAAGTCAGCGTACACTCCATATCGACCTTCGCGCGCGCAGCCTACACCCCAGCTCACCGCGCCCATCAGATACCACTTGTTGTCATCTTCGGAACAGACCAGCGGTCCTCCACTATCTCCTTGGCATGCGTCAATCCCTCCCGCAGCGTATCCTGCACAGCGCATGCGCTTTGTGATAGTGTAGCCTAAGTCTTGGTAAGCGGCTTGACAGGAGTCACGTGTGATGAGTGGCACTTGAGCCTGTTGCAGTATCTGTAAGACGCGGAGTCAGAAAAAGAAATGGTTAAAAAATTTCAGAACAAAAAACTTATATTCTAAGGTGTCGGTGAGACAATCTCATTTCTAGATCCCACGTTCTCGTTAATCAGCGGTCCCTGACTTCTAGTCAAGTAGAATGCGAGCTCTGATGACGAAATTGCTGGAAAAGAAGCCAAGCTCGTTAAATGTCTTATCCTGACCCCTCGGTATCAAGGAGAATTGTCCACTGATTCCAAATTATTCAACACGCACACATACATAACAGTCATCTGTCATCTTATTTGAACATCCAGTGTGAAAAAACTTAAAATTATGATAAATACATTGCCACGCATAGGCGCGATGAGTGCTATGAAAAAATAAAAATAATCAATTCAGTAACAAATGCAGCGCTCATTGAAAATTATAATAAATTATGATAAATGTGATAAAGGTTAACATTATGATAAATACATTACTATGCAGAGGCGCGATGAGGATTATGAAAAAAATAGTAGTAATTTAATTCTCTAAGCAATCAATAACAAGTGCAGCGCTCATTTAAAATTATAATAAATTATGATAATTGTGATAATAGTTAACGTTAAGATAACTAGATTACCATGCTGCAGAGGCGCGATAAGGATTCTGAAAAAATCTTCAGCGAATTTTTTGGATTCTGTTACCTGCGGAATGTCTCCTCCTTCTGCTGTGTGTCCCCAGCCAGTGATGTAACACTTGGTATCCTTGGGAAAGTCAAACTTTGGAAAACACACAGGCCTGACGCGCTTGTTGTAGGTGAGTGGAGACTGGAGCTTAATAAGAGCTAGGTCATAATCGTGATTGGCGTAAGCATCATATTTTGGGTGTTTGATAATCTTTTCGATTGGTATATTTTGCTCGTACCCTTCTTGTCCATTCAGGTCATGATCTCCTGTTGACAAAAATACGTCCAAATGCATTTCAGGTCCACGACGTTTCACAGCAAAAAAAGGAGGCCAGTAATATAAGCCCTGCTAGCCCAAAGTTACTATTTTCTAATAAAGGAAATTGTTAGCTGCGTCGGCAAGCATGCGCAATCAGTCCTTAGGAAAAAAAAAGATGGCGACTAGTACATTGACCCATAATTCTTAGCTCACGAAAACTTTAACAACGCTCATTAAAACTCACAGGAAAATTCTAAAACCTTCAAACCTCGCATACATGGACAAATATCGAAAAAATATGGCTGTCCTTGTACTTAATGGGCCGTGTAAGGTTCGCAGGGTATTGTAGTAAAATGTGCAGCCGCCATCTTTTTCCTACGGAGAACTGAAACACCTACCTATTTGGGTAAATTTAACGCTATGGTGGTTTTGTGAACATTTACTCTGACGGAGGCGGCCTAATGTTCGAAACGTTACCTTCACAAACTCGCACTACTAGTACAGCCTTGTTTTTTCGTCTCAAATTTACCAAAAATTCATCAATTTCCAAACTTGTGGCTTGGGTATTTGAGCTTGATTAGTTAAGATCTTCATGGCCATTTTTTTCCGTTTATGTCTTTGTCAGATTCGATTTAAAAGATATATCAAAAATTTCAGACAGTGTTTTACCGCATTTCCATACATTTCGAATTTCGTTCAAAATACTCCGCCGCGAGTTGTATTCAATTCTTTTCTCAGCGTTTATATTTGGAAGTGCGAACAGAAACACTTTCTCTCTTTCTGATATATTAATTAACTCCGTTAGTGGAAAACATATTTGAGGCTCTGATCACTGGAAAAATTCCATTTAGGGCAACTTAAATGTGATAAAAAAAAAAAAAGGTCCGCAATGTGTCATAACATAATCGGCGGAGTGTAGAGCTGAGTTTTTGCTCAAAACTTACGGAATGGAGCTTTGCAAAGAACAAATGACTGAGTCAGGCCCGGCTGTCCACACTAATCCGCCACGAAAACGGAACTTTTGGCAAACGCTCTACAAACCGGAGGAATTTGAAAACGCCGACTTTGCGTTCTAGTATGGACTGAGAACATTTTAGAAAACATACACAGTTTTTCGAAAAGGGTGACATCACGATAATAATATGATTTCCCTGTACAAGATTTCCGGCATAGTGTGGGCAGAAAACATTTGATGCGTTTTCAGAGTGAAAAGGTAAAACGCCGTTATCAAATTTCTTCGGCGTAGTGTAAACGGAGCCTGTGACAACAGGCATGCATTACCCATCATGCAACGGTTACCTGCAACAATAGTGTACTGATCAGGAGCATCAGTATAAGCAAAACAGTGAGCCGCTGACACAATCCACTGCGGAGAAACAATTGAGCCACCACACCAGTGAGGTCTTGCAGCATGTCCCTTGTAGTCCATTGTCACTTGCCATGGCCAAGCCCCTGGTTTAGCATTAGTGCCACCAACAATTCTGGTTCCCATGACTCTAGTGCCACACTCGACGCTCCCTATTACAATCAATTAAGTACGTATTCGTTTTACATTATCATTATTTTTGTTTGCCTTTCGTACAAATTAATATAAGCACAGCTTTATTAAATATAAGTAGGAAATGAAGAAGACCAAACCATTTATCTCACTAGCAAAACACAAGCAGCGTTTGGGAACGCAAAAGAAGTTCTCTTTCTATTGCTCTTGCTTTTCTGTCTTTTTCTTATTTTGTCTTTGCTTGTACTTTTTTTACTTTGCATTTTGTGAAACACAAAGAAAAACATCTAAAATGAAAGCGAATTTGCAAGTTATTGAGTTGTTTTTATTTTCCGCGCTCAGGCTGACGTAAGTAACCGGAAGTGAAATTTCACCTCCTTAGCAAAGCGCGCAAGCGCGCGCATAAATCGGTTAATGGGCCCTTAAGGCAGAGCAAAATGAATTTACATTGATCAGAAAGCCCTGACATTGCTCTACAAAACGATACAATTGTTATTGGTTGTCACGTCATGTGACGTCTTTTGACCCGCCATCTTGGATCTGCTATCTTGGATTTTATCAGGAGTCATAATCGGGGACGGAGACCGCAAGTCTTGGGATCCGCGCGCACCTATGATATTTTTAGAACAAATTGCGCCATCCTGACGTCATATATCCGCGCGGATCCACGCACATGTCGGGGACTCTCGCGTGGATGTTGTCACGTTGCGTGATCAAATGGTGAGAGTTGCGAGATTCTCTTGCTGATTTTTCACAGCGATGGCAGGGAATAAGGCAGGGAATAAGAAGCAGGACTCTTATACGTAGTTTTATGCTCTGAGCTAATGGAAAAGTTGAGTTTTTCAGGGTCGAAAACATGACTTCGATTTCGCGCTGTGAATGAATGCTCGCGCTAGTTGTACGCGTAAGCTTTGGCGCTTGTTCTATAAAGAAAAGTTATGTAAGAAAACTCTTTACTCTTGTATCGAGTTAATTTGTGAGTTTCCCAAACAATGCTCAATCATAACCAAACCCTGTTTTGATAGTTTGTCATTGCTTCTGTTTGTTTGGCGAATTTGCAAAAGTTTTTGAAAGGAAAGTCTGACGCGTACAAGTAGCTCATTTGCATAGTGCAGCGCGTGCACTTTCAAGCCCGAGTCGGTTTCAACAAATCTTGACAAAGATTTCTTTCGCTGTGTTTTGTGCCGAGATGCTGCAACAATTTTCACCAACGCCAAAAGGCTACTAACAACATGTGTGTTTCTTTAACATAGTGAAATTTTACACTACGAAAATAAAACAGACAAGGAGTTTTGATAACTCAACCAACAAAATCGAAATCTTTATTCGAGCAGCGTGACTATTCGAGTTGATTGAAGAAAGCTGATTATTTCTGCTGTTTTCACATATTTTCAGCTAAGCTTTTAATATGTTCTCAAACATTTATCAACCTTAAACATATTTAAAAACTAGAGATACATGAGTTCGATGTAAGTTTCCACTCAAAAGTGGGGAAGTCCAATTTGTCATGTTTTACTGACTGTACAAAACACGCATCGGCGGGCGCTCTTATTCATCGACAACAGTCAATTTGTTGGATTTTTACACAAGCAAAACTAAGCAGCATCTACAGACATAAACTTTATTGTCACTTATTGGGCCTTAATAAAACATCAAGCGTTGCTTACGNTTCATCGACAACAGTCAATTTGTTGGATTTTTACACAAGCAAAACTAAGCAGCATCTACAGACATAAACTTTATTGTCACTTATTGGGCCTTAATAAAACATCAAGCGTTGCTTACGATTTAGGCTAATTTCAAACTTGCAATTATTATTATTATTTTTTTTTTACTGTTCGGTCGAGATGGACTCTGGTGAAATCCTCGCAAGCGTGTGGCAAGAGGAGGGAAACTTTGAAGTCCTGAAACGCTGCTATATCCAAATATATCCAACTAGTTTTTTGTTGTGTTTTGGAAAAGCTGTTAATCTTCAACATATGTGAAGCTTAGAGTGGAGTAATGTGGAGCCCTTGTAAAAGAAGCTGCGGAATACAACTTGGTCAGTGATATAAAGCGGCACATAACTAAATTTGACACTGTCTTACTTCACTCAAACTGGAGCAGCTTACGACGGAAACACTGAAGCAAAATTCAACAGACATGAAAGTATTGAGTTGTGTGCCAAAGGCATCAAACATTTCGGGAATTTCGGACGCCATTTCCCCGCGCTACATCCGAAAAAATCCTCGCAGCATGCACGCGAGTGTGCCGCAGGCGATGGCGCAATTTGTTCTAAAAATAGAATAATTGTCCCATATCATGGGGACAATCCCAATACTAGAGGTTGAGGTTAGAGGGTCAAAGAAGTAGGGCTTTTAGCGAGCACTATCTTACAGGGTGCTCTTAGTATAAATTTGAAACGTGTTTCACAGAATCGTAGTTATTTTATCAGTTCTTACTATATTTAGCGAGCAATGGCGTCTTTTTTAGGAATTTTACTCCTTCAGTTCCATGTTAATTTGAACTTTTCAGAAAGCAATGCTAAAAATGTGATTTAACTGACATCCAGGTTTTTTCTCACCTTGGTCAATAGGTTGTTCTGTTCGTGGAGGAGTTGCTGGCGCCGGAGTTGTTGGTGGTCCTGAATGAGGAAGAAATATATCTTAGTCTAAAAGTAGCTGGAGATGGAGAAGGAATCGTTCATCTCCGAAAAGCCCAGCTTGTACCTGAAATCTGAAATGGGCGCTAATAGTTCGTTAGAAAATAGTTGGTAGGTTATTTTAATAACCTACTAACCATTATATGTGTCACCAATTAGTCGAGGGTTTTTCCCCCATCGGCTAAATGTTAAGACACATTAAGAAAGTTTATGTATGTATGTAATAGATGAAGGGAATCAATAATAAAATAAATATAGCATTTCTAACCTTTTCGCACTAAACGGCATCTTTCATTTTCTAATCTAGCACCAAGTTAAACATAAAACATAATAATAATAATGCAAAGAACGGAGGCACCGATTGATAGAGCTTGAGGCGGGGAGGGAGGGAAGGACCCAGGGAAGACCCCATGGAGGGGGCCTTGTAGGGAGGGAGCCAAGGAGGGAGCCAGGGAGGCAGCCAGGGAGGCAGGGAGGGACGCAGCTAGGGAGGGAGGCAGCCAGGGAGACAGCCAGGGAAGATGCCAGGGAGAAAGGGAGGGAGCAAGGGAAAAGGCCAGGGAGGGAACCGGGGGAGAAAGGAAGGAACTAGAGAGGGAGCCTGGGGGCAGGGGAGGGGGGAGTTGTAGGGGTAGATTGAAACCTCATTAAAAGAGCATCTTTGCTGAAAAACAGTTCTGTTCCAGATCATGAGCTTGTTCGAGGTTAAGTTTTGATTCCATCGATAATTTTTGCCTTTTTTAAATA